GGTTGAACACCAGACGGGCTGCGGCATTCTGGATGAGTTGTAGGGGCTTAATGGCACAGGCAGGGAGCCCAGCCAACAGCGAGTTGCAGTAATCCAGACGGGAGATGACAAGTGCCTGGATTAGGACCTGTGCCGCTTCCTGTGTAAGGCAGGGTTGTACTCTCCGAATGTTGTAGAGCATGAACCTGCAGGATCGGGTCACCGCCTTGATGTTAGCGGAGAACGACAGGGTATTGTCCAGGGTCACGCCAAGGCTCTTCGCACTCTGGGAGGAGGACACAACGGAGTGCCTTGTGGCAGCAGGGCGCATGTACGCTGGCTTCGGTCAGCAGCTGTGCGGTGTTTCCTCTGACACATTGGTGCGGCTGGCTTCCGGGTTAAGCGAGCAGTGTGTCAAGAAGCAGTGCGGCTTGGTGGGGTTGTGTTTCGGAGGACACATGGCTCTCGACCTTCACCTCTCCTGAGTCCGCACGGGAGTTGCAGCGATGGGACAAGACTGTAACTACCAATTGGGGAGTACAAAATAATTATAATAATTAAATGCAAGAAATGGCAGTGGAAACGCCTTTATCCGAAAATATTTATGTAATAACCATCATATCAAAGTAAATTTGGAGTCACGCGATGATATGGTGTGTGTGGTCCAGTATGAAAAATTTTTTATAATGTATGCACCAACTGTAAAGTCGCTCTGGATAAGAGCGTCTGCTAAATGACTAAAATGTTAAAATGTAAATGTCCTCTCACTACGACTCGGGAAAGCATGTAGTTTAGGCTGCAGATGAAATAAATGATGATGAACTTCACAGTGTGGTGAAAGTGCACGGTGATGAGCTTGATACTACTTTCCAATAAATATCGAGGGTCTTATTATTGATGCTTGACTGCCGTTTGACAAATAAAAATATACTCACTCTGATCCATATTAATCTCATCATGTAGACTAGCTAACATGCACAGCCTACCCGCACTGTATCTGTGAGCTGTTGGCTAGAGCGCATGTGAAAAGACCACATTTGCTATTTAATGCAACAGTTTTTGTGACAAAAGTAAATGTCATGTGCACTACGTCATCACACAGATTTTTATGCGCAACAAGTCAGTTTGGTGGAAACACACCATTGGCGGGAAAATTCACATATTGTTTTTAAGCAGATTTTAGAATATTCGCATGAAGATATGTCACCAATTGGATGGAAACCTAGCTACAAACGCCATAATGGGACAGGTACAATAATATGGCGTCTATCTAAGTCTATGACCCAACCTTTACTGTCTATGGACCCAACCAAAGCCTGATGGTGCGTTCAAGAAAACTGGGAGTCGTAGGTAGGACATTTCCTAGTTGTCTTGAAAGCACCATGAGCTCAGCTACGAAAACCAAAACAGTGCATTGACATGAAATGAGTTACATCATCTGTTGTGTTTAGTCGTTTTCTGACGTTTTCTTTTTCTATCCAATTATTATGTTATTTGAAATAAATAATCTTTATGGGTGCAAACAAATTTGAAAATGGCTAAATAGGGAAGATTTTAGAATGTTCCTGTTTTTCAACTGGGTGGAAGCACTACCCATTAGTTAGTTTCTGTCTGGTAAATGGGGCATTATACATTTTTCCTCAACTATCTGGTAATACACTTTCTGACCACTTTGGGATGATTACGCTGAATAAAATTAATTAAGAATATCATAATGACATCTCTTTATCAAACAGGGGACCAGTACGAAAAAGTATGAATATGTATGCACTCACTACTGTAAGTCGCTCTGGGTAAGAGCGTCTGCTAAATGACAAAAAAATTCAAATGTAAATGTAAAAATTATCTGACAACTGCCAACCAATATTTTTATTAATGTATAATTATAGAAATACATTTATTGATAGACATTTTAAAGTGTTTCACAAAAAGTGTATGTTATCTTTTTGTCTGTTGTGATGCTGACAACATCCAGATCTCAACAACTACATTAAGTCTCTACAGTAAATAGCAGGTAACCAGCAGGTTACAAACAGGCACATTATATAGTAATATAAATTCCAGAAAATGTACAATGTCCTAGTTCCCTTCACTTAACGTTATGCATATATTGAAAGGCACAACCTTATAAAAACCTTATGAAACAAACACGGCGAGCCCATCCGGCCCCAGCACCCCTGGTAGACAGCAGATTGACTGACAGGTGCACCCCTGTAAAAATTGCACAACATAGGAAGATAAAAAGGACTTAGCATAAACTTCCTTCGCCCTTATATGTCATTCATTTCCTGAGGCATATGGTAAACCAGTGTTTCCCAAACCTATCTTCCAGTCCACTTCTTTGATGTATTCCAGAACTAGCACAGCTTATTCAAATGACCTAATCATCAAACACTTCATTAGCTGAATCAACATCGCTAATTCAGGAATACATCAAATAACTGGGCTGGCTGCAGGACCTCGAGGAAAGGTTGGGGAAACACTGGTCTAAACTAAACCATATGATCCTTCATCTATCACCCACTCAGAGGGCAGGGGTAGCTCTGCCCTAAGGTAATCAGACTCTTGGGGCTCCTCTAGAGGGCTTGCCCTCTGATTATCTGAAGGCACTGGGGGTGATGTTTCCACTTCTGGGTGCGACAACCAAAGAGAATTCTCTGAAAGTTCAATTCTTTCACTCTTACAAGAATAACCATAGAAAACCCTCCTAAGAGTGCTACAAACTCTAACACTATTGCAACCACAAATGTCAATGTTGTTTACCAGCACTTTTCTTGAACAATGAGAGTGACAGCGTCTGGATTTCTCAGTTGAGTAAGTTTCATACATCCCCATGTGCTACAAAATCATGCATACAACTTGGAACTACCAATCATGTTGTCTTTCCCAACTCATTCATTACTCGACTCCTTACCATCATTATTATCTCAGAGGTGAAAGGACTGGATAAGCTTTCACCTTATTTTTTAAATCTATTTTAAATTGTTTTTATTTAGGTAATAACGAAAGAGAGGGCACAACTAGGGGAGAGGCTTTTGGGACACGCGGTAAGATGTCGACAAGAGAAAAAGGAAGAAAGTGGACTATGTTTTGAGTGAATATGGAATGGAACAGAACTTTTGGAAGAGCTTAAGGAGGAAATTGAATGTGACGAGAGTGAGGATGAATAAACTGTGGTGGCAGGTGAAGTGATGACTGCTGAGAAGAAGTTGAGTGTAGAGGGAAGCAGTGTGGTGAGGAAGGTTGGCGTCAAGTGCAAAAAGAGCGATACGTGCTCCAGTAGTTCATAGTTGGAACCTGTCGAGAGTGAGGATGAAGTACCTGCGGTGAGGACTGCTGTGTTCGGGCCTCGTCCCGAGGATGATAAGGATGATTCTGGCCCAATGGGAGTGAGATTTGTAGAGAATGGATCCTTGCATTTTGGCTGATCCATATGTGGTGGGGCGGCGCACAATTGGCCCAGCGTTGTCCAGGGTAGGGGAGGGAATGGCCGGCAGGGGATGTAGCTCAGTTGGTAGAGCATGGCGTTTGCAACGCCAGGGTTGTGGGTTCGATAAAATAATGTATGCGCTAACTGTAAGTCGCTCTGGATAAGAGCGTCTGCTAAATGACTAAAATGTAATGTAAAATGTGTAAGGTTGGGTGGAGAAGAGGTTGGGGACTGTTGAGTTGGTGAAGGTAACTTGGAGTGGACTTGTGATGATTTATTGTGTTTCCTCCGCCAAGAGGGAGCGGGCGCTCCGGATTATGCTATTAGGGACAAGAATTGTGACTTGCTTTGCTCTCCGGAACAGGGCGACGTTGAAAGGAGTGATAACGGGGGTGGCATTAAGTGTTGAGGAGGTGCAGTTGAAATTGAAGATTCCCGGTGTATGTGACGCCCGCCGTTTGGTGAGACGTAGATCCGGTGGAGAGCGTGGGGAAACGGAGAAGACATTGTCTGTCATGCTGAGTTTTGATGCAGAGTCTTTGCCAGATAAGGACAAGGTAGGAAGTGTCAGTTATCCCGTGAGAGCTTTTGTTCCCGAAAATACTGTGGTATTTTAGGTGTCAAGTTTATGGGCATGTTGCAGCAGTGTTTTGGAGGGAGATGCCTAGATGTGAGAAGTGTGCAGGAGGGCATGACATGAAGGAATGTATTATCGGTGGAGAACGTTATGTGTGTTAGTTGTGGGGGTGCCCTTGGGGCTGGAGATCTGAGGTGTCCAGTGAGAGAATGGCAGATTGAGGTTGCCAGGGTTAGAGTAGTACAGAAAGTGTTGTATGCCGAAGCAGTGAAGAGAGTGGTAGAGGAAGATGGGTACAGGGATCCTGTGAGGATTGCTGTGAATAGACAGAGACCAAGAGAGAGTGATGGGAAGAATATGTGCTTCAGTAAGGTGAGCATTTTAGCGTTTATTGACATGGTTGTCAATTGAATTGCAGAAATTGATCGAAAGTCACAGAAAACAGAGGTTGTGGTGGCAGCGGCAGAGAAGTACTTGGGATTGCGAGGATTTACTGCAGAACAGCTGCAGAGGGTATTGAGTGGTAGTGTTACGTCCTCTCAGACCGTTGGTCTGGAGTAGGATTAGATAGGGTTAAATAGTGGAATGGGGAGGTGGGTTTTTTAGAGAGGGCTAATAGTTGGAAGGGCAATTTTCCTTTTCCCCAATTTTGTATTACTGTAACAAATCATTTAATGTAGGTCATGAATGGCCTCACACACCAGTACAGTAGGTGGCGGTGTATGAACATACAAATTGGATGTGATCCGCCAATCAAATCTCAAAGAAGAAGAAGATGGGCACAACTAAAAGAAGGAAGCCATACACGCGCAAAGTATAAGGGAGTTATACTCCAGTCTAGTAGGTGGCGGTAATGCAACTTTTATTGGATGCCACCCGCCGTTAAACCTCATCAAAGAAGAAGAATTGAGACGCACCCAAGGACTCGTCTCAAGCTTTCAAGACGGGCAAGTTCTTCAGTGGGTAACGCCCAACTTCTACGTAACGAAGGAGGGAGTTGAGTTTTATTTCAAGATGGCGACGACCATAGACACCTGCAATGCCATACAGGCGACAAAGAAAAAACATCTCGGAATCCCCGAAGCAATATTTGTGGTGTGTAAAATATGAATTATATACATTGTGGCCATTATACTTTATGAACTAACACTCTCGAATGTATTTGCCGCTGTCCAGCCTCTAAACTAGCCTGTCACGAATGCTAGCTAGCTATGTTCATTCATATCCTTTTAGGGAAATGACGCCTAGAAAGTCCATTAGGCCTAGCTACCTACCTATCCAATTTGTCATGTCATCCAAATGCAATGAAACGACTTTCTTCAGCTAGCTATCTTGTATACTCACAATGGGTTTACTATATGGTGTGAATGACTCGTCTGAAAGCTAGCTAGTAAACTAGCTAGATTACCCGTTAGCGAACGTTATTTTGTGAATCGTTGTAGGAGGATGTCGAGTCGTTTATGAAGCAACCAGGGAACGACACTGCAGACGCCGTCCTGAGAAAACTGGATGAGCAATACCAGAAATATAAATACATGGAGCTCAACCTGGCTCAGAAGAAACAAAGGTAACTAATATACAGCATAAGATGTTAACGGTAACTACTTTAGTCAAATGTCAAAACAGCAACATACTTGACGTGTGCTTCATTTCGTTTGCCTGACATGTTATTGTGGGCAGAGATTGCACGTGTTGGACTATTCCATTGGTTCCATTGTATCAAGTTTAGCTACTATTATTCCCAGATGAGAGGAATTTACCAATCTACAAACTCGTAAACTAGTGTGGTATTGTGTTGTCTTCTCTGGTGTTATGATTTACTCTATTTAGCTGGTAGGATGACCCTGAGTTTTTGATGGATAAATATGTAATAGTTCTGCTTCTATCGTGTTGTCATTCTTCTTCTATGGTGTTTCTATCTGCTGCACCCAGGTTGAAAAGCCAGATCCCACAGATCAAGCAGACTTTAGAAATCCTACTACACATGCAGAAGAAGAAGGTAAACAACATTCAGTGCACTCCTCTTATACACGTTTCATATACAGACAAAGATCCCACAAGTTTACCATGCCTGCTTTTTTAAAACCGACTTTTTGGTATATCTGAAAGGGGTAGGGGGTAAAAACATGGCCAATTAAAAGCCACCTAAAGACCTAATCATGATTCCTGCATTTTCACAGACCCTGTAACCAAAATACCGGTATCGGGTCTGTAAATGGTTCTCTGATTTTTTGCAGGTAAATTCATTTCCGTTTCCGTTGTTTGACACCTCCCTAATTTGTAATGCAAACACCCCCCCCATGGTTTAACACCCCCTACCCCTCCCAATTTGCCAGTTTCCCACTGATATGTATAAAAGTGGTAAATAAGGTGCTGTTTGAAAGGGGGTCATATAAACATTACCTTATATCTTTACAGGTAATATACCACATTCTGTCTGAAATGGGTATTACAGTGATTACATTCTTGCAGGACAATTTGATCACTATAAGCGGTTGATCACTAACTGCATTCACAATCAGCAGAGTGCACCATATGTGGTGTTGAGTTACTTTGTTTTCTCCCCATATCCCTCATCCTATAGGAAACCACAGACCCTATGGAGACACACTTCCTATTGGCTGACAACGTTTACTGCAAGGCGTCAGTCCCACCCACCGACAAAGTCTGCCTGTGGCTAGGGGTGAGTACTACTACATGTCATGTGTACCTAGTAACATTGTTTGGTCTCATCCGATCACTTGTTCCCTATTTATGGAGCCCACTCCTTATCCCTGAGGTTAGCCCAATATTAGACCTCTGATTATTACTTAATTCATGAGACCAGGTCTAAGGGCATTCCATGGCGACAGCGTGTGATTTAATTAATGGTCCAATAACTGTACCTGCTTGCAGCATGTGTCCCGCTCCGAAGCTACATCCATAAAATGGTGGACTGTTTCAATTGGAGAATTGCCGTTTGCATCGCTGAGCAGTGAACAAGAAACTATTAAATCCACCTTTAAGATGCTACCCTGCCCAAATCAAAATCTAATATGGATGTCAATGTTTTCTTCTGGCTTTGCGCGCACACGTTTCCTCTCCTTCCCATCTGGGGTAGCATGGTACCCGTATTGCGAGGCTGATTAGCTAGACAAACAGGTGTGCGCGCGAAGTAAGGAAAACATATAGAGATGGGAGGGCCAGAAAAGTAATGTTATGCAAAGATTTGGTGAAGTGGTGAAAGAGGATCATGGCAGTGATGTGTTATGTGCAATGGTTGTGAGGCGCTATTAGGGTGGGGCAATGTCTGGAATGACACATAATCCCATCAACCTGTCCAACATTGTTGATATAAGATTTTATCGTCCATTATTTTTTTTTTTACCCGGGGCAGTCGGAGGAGAGCGTTGCTGCGTTGGCTAGCAGAGATCTGTGGCATTGTGTTGTGTGACAAAACTGCAGTGGCCTGTTATTGTCCCCAGCACAAGGTGGACCTGTGTAATGTTCATGCTGTTTAATCAGCTTCTTGATATGCCACACTTGTCAGGTGGATGAATTATCTTGGCAAAGGAGAAATGCTCACTAACAGGGATGTAAACAAATTTGTGCACAACATTTTAGCGAAATAAGCTTTTTGTGCATATGGAACATTTCTGGGATCATTTATTTCAGCTCATGAAACATGGGACCAACACTTTACAGGTTGCGTCAATATTTTTGTTCAGTATAATTTGGAAATAATGCACAAAAACTATTTCCCATTGTATTAGTTATTGCATTTTCTCCCCAGTCCCTAAACATATTTGCTCCACAAAAGAAGCAGCGATAACAGAAATATAGTCGGGCAGTTGCAAAGGGTTATTAGCAATTGCAGGTGGACAAACAGCTGACCCGCGCACCACTACTGTACACACATCAATACACACATCAATACACAAAAGGCAAAGCACAATCATGGAAAACAAACACATTCTTCAGTAAAAAGGTCCTCAATCAGCCTATTGGAGTCAGGGATCGTCAACTACAGTCAAACTTTTGCCCCCGCCCCAGCTAACACCCCTGACTCCAATAATCAACTAATCATGATCTTCAGTTTAGAATGCGATTACACTGAACAAAAATATAAACGCAACATGTAAAGTGTTGGTCCCATTTTCATTTTTGAGCAGTAGCATTTATTTATTTATATACAGTACCAGTCAAAAGTTTGGACACACCTACTCATTCAAGGGTTTTATTAAGATTTTTACTATTTTCTACATTGTAGAATAATAGTGAAGACATTAAAACTATGAAATAACACATGGAAACATTGTAGTAACCAAAAAAGTGTTAAACAATCTAAAATATATTTTAGATTCTTCAGTGTAGCCACCCTTTCCCTTGATGACGGCTTTGCACGCTCTTGGCATTCTCTCAACCAGCTTCATGAGGAAGGCTTTTCCAACAGTCTTGGAGTTCCCACATATGCTGAGCACATGTTGGCTTCTTTTCCTTCACTCTGCATCCCAAACCATCTCATTTGGGTTGAGGTTGGGTGATTGTGGAGGCCAGGTCATCTGATCACTCTCCTTCTTGGTCAAATTGCCCATACACAGCCTGGAGGTGTGTTTTCGGTCATTGTCCTGTTGAAAAACAAGTGATCGGCCCACTAACCGCAAACCAGATGGGATGGCGTATCGCTGCACAATGCTGTGGTAGCCATGCTGGTTAAGTGTGCCTTGAATTCTAAATAAATCACAGACAGTGTCACCAGCAAAGCACCATCACACCACCTCCTCCATGCTCCAGTCCCCTAACCCTACCACCCCTCCCCTAATTGGAGTAAACTAATGGACAACAACACTTAGGCTTCTACTTCCAGCTTATACATACTCTAAAAAAAATTAAGGACACAATATATTTTACAATAGATATCTTTTGTTTGTTTTTAGTCCCATCCTTCAGCTACCATCAACCCCTCCCATCTATCTCTGAAGACCATCCAGTTCGATTTCTATTTTGCCATATATTTTGAACTGTGCTGTTTCACAAAAGTTCAGAACCTTTCTATTCTCATATTTTCTACAGATTGTAAATTTAAAGATAACCTTTTTTGCGAAGAGTATTATAATATTATTGATCAATTGACTATGACTTTTCAAATCACCCAGTAGTGCTGTCTGCAGAGTTAGCGCCAACTAAATGTTGCACTTCTTCAACCATTCCTGGACCTGCGACCAAAGAAAAGCTACATATGGACACTACCAAAACAAATTATCTAATAATTTGCAGCAAAATCTGTACAGCTGGGATGGTTGTATCCCCCATATATATATCATTCTATTGGTTGCAAGAATCCAGCGATGTTTTGCGTATCAGTTCATAAACCATGTGCCATGGAATCGGTATATCAAAAATCTCTTCCCAGCTATTTTGCAATCTACGGTGCCTTTGGAAAGTATTCAGACCCCTTGATTTTTTCCACATTTTGAACATTAGTCTTATTCTAAAATTGATTCAATATTTTTTTTTTTATCAGCAATCTACACACAATACCCCATAATGACAAAGCGAAAACAGGTTTTTAGAATTTTAAGCTAATTTATAAAAAATATTATTATTATTTACATACGTATTCAGACTCTTTGCTATGAGACTCAAAATTGAGCTCAGGTGCATCCTGTTTCCATTGATCATCCTTGAGATGTTTCTACAACTTGATTGGAGACCACCTGTGGTAAATTCAAGTGATTGGACATGATTTGGAAAGAAACACACCTGTCTATATAAGGTCCCACAGTTGACAGTGCATGTCAGAGCAAAAACCAAGCCATGAGCTCTGAGAAAGGATTGTGTCGAGGCACAGGTCTGGGGACGGGTACCAAAACATTTCTGCAGCATCATGCTGTGGGGATGTTTTTCAGCGGCAGGGACTGGGAGACTAGTCAGGATCGAGGGAAAGATGAACGGAGCAAAGTACAGAGAGATCCTTGATGAAAACCTGCTCCAGAACGCTCAGGACCTCAGACTGGGGCGAAGGTTCACCTTCCAACAGGACAACGACCCTAAGTACACAGCCAAGACAACACAGGAGTGGCTTCGGGACTAGTCTCTGAATGTCCTTGAGTGGCCCAGCTAGAGCCTGGACTTGAACCCGATCGAACTACTCTGGAGAGACCTGAAAATAGCTGTGCAGCGACGCTCCCTGTCCAACCTGACAGAGCTTGAGAGGATCTGCAGAGAAGAATGGGAGAAACTCCCCAAATACAGGTGTGCCAAGCTTGTAGCGTCATACCCAAGAAGACTTGAGGCTGTAATCGTTGCCAAAGGTGCTTCAACAAAGTAATGAGTAAAGGGTCTGAATACTTATATAAATGTGATATTTCGGGGGGGTTTCAATTCGTACATTTTGAGTTTAACCACAATATTTGTTGTATTATCTGTTCTGTCTTTTCTGGTGGATTAAACAGAAATTGCAACCAACTTTCTATGGCTTGTTTTAAAAATAGTGATATTTTGGAGATTATTTCATTTTCAAATAACCGAGTGAGAGGTTGTAATCTGAATAAAGGGGGAAAAGGCCATTCTTGAACATGGGGTGAGACATTCTTACTAATCTGCTGGAGAACCATTTTGGATTTAAGTATATATTTTGTATGACTGACGCCTTTTAGTGAGAGGTCTAATGCTTTAATATTGAATAATTTCTGCCCTCCGAATTCATATTAATTATAGAAATAGGCCCGTTTAGTTTGGTCTGGCTTGCCGTTCCAAATACAATTGAATCATTTTTGCTCATATAATAATAAAAAAAGACAGGTCGCTATGTGTAGGCAAGACCATAAGCAAATGGGTCTACTGGAATATAACTAAAGAGTTAATTAGGGTGATTTTTCCACAAATAGACATGCATTTTTTCCTTTTCCTGATAGCAAAATCGTATCTATATTTGCTAACTTTCTTTATAAATGTATTGTACTGAGATAATTTATTTATTTTGGTATATGTATACCGAGTATTTCCACATCACCGTCAGACAATTTTATTGGTAAACTACACGTAATGTAAAAGTTGTATTTTTAGTGATCCAATACGTTATATAGTACACTTTATCATAATTTGGTTGTAATCCAGAGAGGTTAGAAAAAGTATGTAGGTCCTCTATGAGTCTGTGGAGGGATGAATCATCAGCGTACAGTGACACCTTTGTTTTTAAGCCCTTGATTTCTAACCCCTTGATTGTTGTTGGATCTGATTTTAATAGCTAACATTTTGTTGGCATTATTTACTATTTTACACCTAGGGTTACTACACATAACTGTAAGTCATTTTATAAAAGATTCTCCAAAATTGAAATATTCCAGGCATTTACAGTGAGGGAAAAAAGTATTTGATCCCCTGCTGATTTTGTACGTTTGCCCACTGACAAAGACATGATCAGTCTATAATTTTAATGGTAGGTTTATTTGAACAGTGAGAGACAGAATAACAACAACAAAATCCAGAAAAACGCATGTCAAAAATATTATAAATTGATTTGCATTTTAATGAGGGAAATAAGTATTTGACCCCTCTGCAAAACATGACTTAGTACTTGGTGGCAAAACCCTTATTGGCAATCACAGAGGTCAGACGTTTCTTGTAGTTGGCCACCAGGTTTGCACACATCTCAGGAGGGATTTTGGTCCCACTCCTCTTTGCAGATCTTCTCCAAGTCATTAAGGTTTAGAGCCTGACGTTTGGCAACTCAAACCTTCAGCTCCCTCCACAAATGTTCTATGGGATTAAGGTCTGGAGACTGGCTAGGCCACTCCAGGACCTTAATGTGCTTCTTCTTGAGCCACTCCTTTGTTGCTTTGGCCATGTGTTTTGGGTCATTGTCATGCTGGAATACCCATCCAAGACCAATTTTCAATGCCCTGGCTGAGGGAAGGAGGTTCTCACCCAAGATTTGACGGTACATGGCCCCGTCCATCGTCCCTTTGATGCGGTGAAGTTGTCCGGTCCCCTTAGCAGAAAAACACCCCCAAAGCATAATGTTTCCACCTCCATGTTTGACGGTGGGGATGGTGTTCTTGGGGTCATAGGCAGCATTCCTCCTCCAAACACGGCGAGTTGAGTTGATGCCAAAGAGCTCGATTTTGGTCTCATCTGACCACAACACTTTCACCCAGTTCTCCTCTGAATCATTCAGATGTTCATTGGCAAACTTCAGACGGGCATGTATATGTGCTTTCTTGAGCAGGGGGACATTGCGGGCGCTGCAGGATTTCAGTCCTTGACAGTGTACTGTGTTACCAATTGTTTTCCTTGTGACTATGGTCCCAGCTGCCTTGAGATCATTGACAAGATCCTCCCGTGTAGTTCTGGGCTGATTCCTCACCGTTCTCATGATCATTGCAACTCCACGAGGTGAGATCTTGCATGGAGCCCCAGACCGAGGGAGATTGACATTTATTTTGTGTTTCTTCCATTTGCGAATAATCGCACCAACTGTTGTCACCTTCTCACCAAGCTGCTTGGCGATGGTCTTGTAGCCCATTCCAGCCTTGTGTAGGTCTACAAACTTGTCCCTGACATCTTTGGAGAGCTCTTTGGTCTTGGCCATGGTGGAGAATTTGGAATCTGATTGTTTGATTGCTTCTGTGGACAGGTGTATTTTATACAGGTAACAAGCTTAGATTAGGAGCACTCCCTTTAAGAGTGTGCTCCTAATCTAAGCTTGTTACCTGTATAAAATACACCTGGGAGCCAGAAATCTTTCTGATTGAGAGGGGGTCAAATACTTATTTCCCTCATTAAAATGCAAATCAATTTATAACATTTTCGACATGCGTTTTTCTGGATTTTTATGTTGTTATTCTGTCTCTCACTGTTCAAATAAACCTACCATTAAAATTATAGACTGATCATTTCTTTGTCAGTGGGCAAACATACAAAATCAGCAGGGGATCAAATACTTTTTTCCCTCACTGTATATATAAATTCCAGTCGCACTTTATCAAAAGCCTTTTCAAAGTCCGCTATGAATACCAGGCCTGGTTTCCCAGATTTTTCATAGTGTTCTATTGTTTCCAGTACTTGTCTTATATTATCTCCAATGTATCTTCCATGTAAAAAACCTGTCTGATAAGGATGAATAATATCCGCCAATACCTTTGTAATTCTATGCATTTTGCTAGATTATTTGATGTGTAAGTGGCCTCCAATTTTTTATATGGACTGGATCTTTATATTTACCACTTGGATCCTGTTTCAGTAATAATGAAAACAAACCTTCTTGTTCAGTATCTGATAATCTACAATTTTTGTAGGAGTGGTTAAAACATGCTAATAACGGTCCTCTGACTATATCAAAAAAGGTTTGGTATACCTCCACTGGTAATGCCATCCAACCCTGGAGTTTTCCCGGACTTAAAGGCTTTAATTGCATCAAGACGTTCCTCCTCTGTAATTTGGCCTTCACATGAGTCTTTCTGTACAGTTGTTAATTTTACATTATTCATAGAAAAACAATCCATACATTTGTCTTCGGTTAGTGGAGATGGAGGAGACTGAAACGAAAACATGCTTAAAGTACTTTGCTTTCTCTTTCAAAATATCGTTTGGTAAAACATGGGTGACTCCATCATTTGCAACAAGTTTCAGTAATTTCTTTTTGGTACCATTTCTATGTTGAAGATTTTATACTATATTACACTTGATCTTTCTTGAATAAGTTCCTCCATTCCTTTTAGAATTTCTTCTAACTTATTCTGTGCCTCTATGGTACAGTTTCTATTGCTGTCTATCTGTACTATTAGTCCTTCTAGTTCCTTTGTTAATATGGACTCTTTTGACCTAAATTGCTTTTGTTTTGAGTACTGAATTGCATGGCCTCTAAAGGTGTCCCATACAATAAGGGGGATCTGCTGTACCTATGTTATGTCGGGATAAAGCCCATTATAAATTATTCTGGCCTAGTTAACTTGTTTTTATCATCCAATAGGCTTTGATCAAATGTCCGATATCCTCGCCCACGTGGAAATTCTGTAAGAGTAATATACACTGCTCAAAAAAATAAAGGGAACACTTAAACAACACATCCTAGATCTGAATGAATGAAATAATCTTATTAAATACTTTTTTCTTTACATAGTTGAATGTGCTGACAACAAAGTCACACAAATATGATCAATGGAAATCAAATTTATCAACCCATGGAGGTCTGGATTTGGAGTCACCCTCAAAATTAAAGTGGAAAACCACACTACAGGCTGATCCAACTTTGATGTAATGTCCTTAAAACAAGTCAAAATGAGGCTCAGTAGTGTGTGTGGCCTCCACGTGCCTGTATGACCTCCCTACAACGCCTGGGCATGTTCCTGATGAGGTGGCGGATGGTCTCCTGAAGGATCTCCTCCCAGACCTGGACTAAAGCATCCGCCAACTCCTGGACAGTCTGTGGTGCAACATGGCGTTGGTGGATGGAGCGAGACATGATGTCCCAGATGTGCTCAATTGGATTCAGGTCTGGGGAACGGGCGGGCCAGTCCATAGCATCAATGCCTTCCTCTTGCAGGAACTGCTGACACACTCCAGCCACATGAGGTCTAGCATGGTCTTTCATTAGGAGGAACCCAGGGCCAACCGCACCAGCATATGGTCTCACAAGGGGTCTGACAATCTCATCTCGGTACCTAATGGCAGTCAGGCTACCTCTGGCGAGCACATGGAGGGCTGTGCGGCCCCCCAAAGAAATGCCACCCCACACCATGACTGACCCACCGCCAAACCGGTCATGCTGGAGGATGTTGCAGGCAGCAGAACGTTCTCCACGGCGTCTCCAGACTCTGTCACGTCTGTCACGTGCTCAGTGTGAACCTGCTTTCATCTGTGAAGAGCACAGGGCACCAGTGGCGAATTTGCCAATCTTGGTGTTCTCTGGCAAATGCCAAACGTCCTGCACGGTGTTGGGCTGTAAGCACAACCCCCACCTGTGGACGTCGGGCCCTCACATCCTCATGGAGTCTGTTTCTGACCGTTTGAGCAGACACATGCACATTTGTGGCCTGCTGGAGGTCATTTTGCAGGGCTCTGGCAGTGCTCCTCCTGCTCCTCCTTGCACAAAGGCGGAGGTAGCGGTCCTGCTGCTGGATTGTTGCCCTCCTACGGCCTCCTCCTTGTCTCCTGATGTACTGGCCTGTCTCCTGGTAGCGCCTCCATGCTCTGGACACTACGCTGACAGACACAGCAAACCTTCTTGCCACAGCTCGCATTGATGTGCCATCCTGGATGAGCTGCACTACCTGAGCCACTTGTGTGGGTTGTAGACTCCGTCTCATGCTACCACTAGAGTGAAAGCACCGCCAGCATTCGAAAGTGACCAAAACATCAGCCAGGAAGCATAGGAACTGAGAAGTGGTCTGTGGTCACCACCTGCAGAACCACATCTTTATTGGGGGTGTCTTGCTAATTGCCTATAATTTTCACCTGTTGTCTATTCCATTTGCACAACAGCATGTGACATTTATTGTCAATCAGTGTTTAATTAATTTATGATTAAACAGCATGATCATTACACAGGTGCACCTCGTGCTGGGGACAATAAAAGGCCACTCTAAAATATGCAGTTTTGTCACACAACACAATGCCACAGATGTCTCAAGTTGAGGGAGTGTGCAATTGGCATGCTGACTGCAGGAATGTCCACCAGAGCTGCTGCCAGAGAATTTAATTTTCATTTCTCTACCATAAGGCGCCTCCAACGTCGTTTTAGAGAATTTGGCAGTATGTCCAACAGGCCCCTCAACTGCAGACCACGTGTATGGCGTTGTGTGGGTGAGCGGTTTGCTGATGTCAACATTGTGAACAGAGTGCCCCATGGTGGGGTTATGGTATGGGCAGGCATAAGCTACGGACAACGAACACAATTGCTTTTCTCGATGGCAATTTGAATGCACAGAAATACTGTGGCGAGATTCTAAGGTCAATTTTTTTTAAGGTATCTGTGACCAACAGATGCTTATCTGTATTCCCAGTCATGTGAAATCCATAGATTAGGGCCTAATTAATTTATTTCAATTGACTGATTTCCTAATGAACTGTAACTCAGTAAAATCTTTGAAATTGTTGCATTTATATTGTTGTTCAGTATAGTTTAATCAGCTGTGTATGCTAGCTGGGGAAAAAGTGTGACACCATTCCGGCCCCAGAGGGCTGGAATTGCTCATCCCTGCTCTAAAGGCATAAATTCATCCAATTTTAGAAATCCTTGGAGATTATTTTATAAGTAAAGTGCCAAAAAACTAAAAGCAGATTTACCTAACTCAGTAGAGATCTCCAGAGTTAGCCATCCCTGAGACCGGGTCTGCTATCTCGTACGTCTGTAAGTAAACAATTAAGTAAGGTACGGCCAAAGTTTATGCAGGAAGCCCAGTCTCTGCAGTCTACTGTAATATCAACCTCCCTCTCTCTCCTCTTCTAGGCCAATGTGATGTTGGAGGACGACATAGAATGAAAGCAAGCACTATTGAAGTCTACTGTTATGTTGTTCACTCACTTTGACTTCTCCATTTCCTCTCCTACCTTGCTTCCCTCCATCCCCTCTCCTCTCCCAGGCCAAAGTGATGTTGGAGTACGACATCGACGAGGCCCAGACTCTGCTCGAGAAGAATCTGGCAACCGCATCACGCAACCTGGACTCCCTGGAAGAAGACCTGGACTTCCTCCGAGACCAGTTTACCACCACTGAAGTCAGTATCCTTACGCCTAAATATAGGCCCAGGGACTAGTGTTTAACGGGCCTGGAGGTTGGAGAAAAAGCTGTGATGATACAATGTTGTTTGAATCAGGGATGGGTAACTCTGGACATGTATTCATAAAGTGTCTTAGAGTAGGAGTGCTGCTCTAGGATCAGGTGCCCCACCCCCGTCCATTCATTATAATCTAAAAGGCAAAACAGATCCTAGATCAACACTTCTATTCTGAGAGGCTATAAGGTTATAAGCCCAGGTCTTTGGGAGCTGAATTATCTGCTGGTTTTACCATTAGGACAGTTTTATGGTCTGGTAGGGCTGAGTGATTGGTGCAGGTGTTTGACAGGTGACAGCTGTGGCAGACATTTGTGTCAAAGCAGGGAAAGCAAGTCTGTGTTCAGTAGGCACGAACCAGGAGAAAACAACAAATTGAAACTGATGAGGTACATACTTAACTTTGACAATTTGATCTTGTTCAAACTGTTGGGGTAAGTACTGTTGTTTTGATAGACTGGTGAAGACAGTGTTCCGTGCTCAAACAACTAAATTAGAGGTGCTTTCTAAGTAGATGCCGCATGGCATGCAAACACAAGGCGTGGTACTCTCCTTATGAAAATACTAGACAAAACGTATCTTTCATAGACTGAGATGTGTATCATCCTTAACCCATTGCCCCTCTCAGACATGGCACGAGTCTATAACTGGGACGTGAAGAGAAGGAGCAAGGACAACCTCCTCAAATCGGTTGAGAAGTCTTAAGAAAGAGGCCCCCCCATAACAACTATCTTCTCCCCATAGAAACCCGCCCCGGCAACCCGCCCCAACTCCATGTCTATGTTCACATCTCTAGTCTCTACAGTACAAGGTTGCATCCCAAATGACATTCTATTCCCTATATAGTGCACTACTTTTGACATCAAAAGTAGGGCACTGTATAGGGGATATGATGCCATTTGGGACTCAGCCCAAGCTTTATTCTATTGATTTGTTACTTTTAAAAATTATTTTTTCAAGTAAAGAAAGACAAAACAAAAGTTACCACGGCAGTTTTTTTGTATCATTTTATTACGATTATTAAGCCCTCATATTTTTTGACCGCCTGCGACTCTAGGTTTTCACTGTCCTCCACTTTCTCCTCCTCTCACTGTTCCCAAACAGTGAGAGTACCTTATTGTTCAAAACTGTTATTGATGTTGGTCTTCACTGTGTACTAGTTTGGGAACTTGGTTTGCTTTCGTAACACCCCGCGTTACTACCCATAATCCTCGCTGAGCAGGAAATAAGAGAGAGGAGGAGAAGCATCTCACAGTCAAACCTTCTTCTGATGTGTTTGCATGAGAATGTGAGACGGCAAAATGGTGCACTCCGGATTAAGAATGTTCAGACGTTTGTTCCATGCCCCCTCTTTCCTCTCCTCTGATCTGTCCCTTACTCCTATTTCCTGAATGAGTCTGAAATGGCACCCTATTCTCTATATAGTGCACTACTTTTGACCAAAAGCCTACAGGCCTTGGTCAAAAATAGTGCACTATATATAGGGAATAGGGTGCCATTTCAGACAACTTCTCAGCGTTCTTGTCTGTTTTTCATTATTTTCTCTTCCTCCTTTCTTGTTTGCTCCTCTTTCTGGCCTCTTCCTCAATGTATTTATTTGTCACGTTGTATCCATTAAGACACTTGAGTGATAAAAAGAAATGACAAAAAAATAAACTTTACATGGTGGTTCTGTGTTTTTTGTGTGTGTGTGGGTGACATGAAACATGCTACAGTGCAGTAGAAGGTGGGTTGAGCGTGCTCAGACATTTTATACTAACTTCACCTCTCACAGACGGGGTGGTATTCTGGCAAAAGGTACAACTTAATTTGGCTCTAAATTCCAGCATTTTAGATTTGAGATCAAATGTTTGATATGAGGCGACGGTACAGAATGCAACCTTTTATTTGAGGGTATTTTCATACATATCTATTTTACAGTTTAGAAATTAATGCACTTTATGTATCCATTTGAAGGTGTCAAATCACATTTTATTTGTCACATACACGTGTTTAGCAGATGTCATAAGTATTTGGACAAATTCAAGTGTCGTATTTAGTCCCATATTCCTAGCACGCAATGACTACGTCAAGCTTGTCACTACAAACTTGTTTGGATGCATTTGCAGTTTGTGCCCAATATAAATTAATGGTAAATGTATTGTCATTTTGTAGTCACTTTTGTAAATAAGAATATAATGTTTCTGAACACTCCTACATTAATGTGGATGCTACCATCATTATGGATAATCATGAATGAATTATGAATAATGATGAGTGAGAAAGTTACATATGCACAAAGATCATGCCCCCAAAACATGCTAACCTCTCACCATTACCAATAAAAGGGAAGGTTAGCATTTCTGGTGGGGTATGATATTTGTCTTATGCCTATAACTTTCTCACTCGTCATTATTCACGGCTCATTCATGATTATATGTAATTATTGTAGCATCCATATTAATGTGGAAGTGTTCAGAAACATATATTCTTTACAATAAAATGTACTACAAAATGACTACATTATTTACAATTAATTCCTATTGGGCACAACATAATCTGAAACAACCTAAACAAATTGCAAATGCGTCCAACAAGTTTGTAGAGTCACAAGCTGGATGTAGTCATTGCGTGCTAGAAATATTGGACCAAATACAAAAATGTTGACTAAATTAAATACACACTATAAGTGAATTTGTCCAAATAGTGCTTTCATTTCTAAACGGTAAAACATGTATGAAAATACCCTTCAGATAAAAGGTGAGACTGTACAGTCACTTCATATAAAACATTTGATCTCAAATGTATAGAGCCAAATGAAAATATTTAGCTTCACTGTCTAAATAAATACGTAGGGGAGTGTAACTCAAAGTCCTTCTGACTAGGGTTGCAAAAATCTGTTAACTTTCCCCAAATTCCCAGGACTTCCAGAAATCGTGGTTGGAGGTTTCTGGATTTCCTGCTTCTTCCCTCCTGATTCTGGAAGTCTTCCAACCAGGATTTCTGGAAAACTAGGGGATTTGGGGAAAGTTACCTGATTTTTTTGCAACCCTACTCCTGACTTCATAGCCTGGAAAGGCTCTTTTGATTTTGTCGGCACTATGCTTTTTTACTGATTGATTCTCATCTGTGTCTTTCTCACTCAAACACCCACATTGACAGCCACACACAGCACTCCAGCACCGCCCCCTTTCAATACAACTGTTGGATTTTCAAATCAGTCCCCCAGGAAAAAAAGATGTATATTTGAATGAATATTGCACTAACAACAGACTCCTGTCCAGACCAGTGTGTGAGCCAGGCTAAGAGGGGGGTAGATGTGCCGAGATATTCCTGTGCAGTAATATGATTTTTCACCCCAACATTTCAGGTAGTTATATACCTGAAGTGGTCTGATGTTCATATGTATTCCACAACAACCGTTTATGAGGGTCCCACTATAATATACACTACCGTTCAAAAGTTTGGGGTCCCTTAGAAATGTCAATTTTTTGTCCATTAAAATAACATCAAATTGATCAGAAATACAGTGTAGACATTGTTAATGTTGTAAATGGCTATTGTAGCTGGAAACTGCTGATTTTTGATGGAATATCTACATAGGCGTACAGAGGCCCATTATCAGCAACCATCAGTCCTGTGTTCCAATGGCACGTTGTGTTTGCTAATCCAAGTTTATCATTTTAAAAGGCTAATTGATCATTAGAAAATCCTTGCTGAAAACTGTTGTGCTGATTGTGGTCCTCTGTAGCTCAACTGGTAGAGCACGGCGCTTGAAATGCCAGGGTAGTGGGTTCGATCCCCGGGACCACCCATACACAAAAATGTATGCACGCATGACTGTAAGTCGCTTTGGATAAAAGCGTCTGCTAAATGGCATATTATATTATTATATTATAAAGAAGCAATAAAACTGGAATTCTTGAGACTAGTTGAGTATCTGGAGCATCAGCAATTGTGGGTTCGATTACAGGATCAAAATGGCCAGAAACAAATAGGTTTCTTCTGAAACTCGTCAGTCTATTCTTGTTCTGAGAAATGAAGGCTATTCCATGCGAGAAATTGCCAAGAAACTGAAGATCTCGTACAATGCTGTGTACTACTCCCTTCACAGAACAGCGCAAACTGGTTCTAACCAGAATAGAAAGAGGAGTGGGAGGCCCCGGTGCACAACTGAGCAAGAGGACAAATACATTAGTGTCTAGTTTGAGAAACAGACGCCTCACAGGTCCTCAACTGGCAGCTTCATTAAATAGTACCCGCAAAACACCAGTCTCAACGTCAACAGTGAAGAGGCGACTCTGGGATGCTGACCTTCTAGGCAGAGTTGCAAAGAAAAAGCCATATCTCAGACTGGACAATAAAAAGAAAAGATTAAGATGGGCAAAAGAACACAGACACTGGACAGAGGAAGATTGGAAAGAAGTGTTATGGACAAACAAATCGAAGTTTGAGGTGTTCGGATCACAAAGAAGAACATTTGTGAGATGCAGACCAAATGAAAAGATGCTGGAGGAGTGCTTGATGCCATCTGTCAAGCATGGTGGAGGCAATGTGATGGTCTGGGGGTGCTTTGGTGGCGGTAAAGTGGGAGATTTGTAAGGGTAAAAGGGATCTTGAAGAAGGAAGGCTATCACTCCATTTTGCAACGCCATGCCATACCCTGTGGATGGCGCTTGATTGGAGCCAATTTCCTCTTACAACAGGACAATGACCCACAGCTCCAAACTATGCAAGAACTATTTAGGGAAGAAGCAGTCAGCTGGTATTCTGTCTATAATGGAGTGGCCAGCACAGTCACTGGATCTCAACCCTATTGAGCTGTTGTGGGAGCAGCTTGACCGTATGGTACGTAAGAAGTGCCCATCAAGCCAATCCAACTTGTGGGAGGAAAGTTTGAAGGACACAATTATTATTTCAATGAAAAATCATTATTTCTAACCTCGTCAATGACTACATTTCCTATTCATTTTGCTCTATTTCCTATTCAAACTCATTTCATGTATGTTTTCATGGAAAACAAGGACATTTCTAAGTGACCCCAAACTTTTGAACGGTAGTGTACATGTGAAATATGATGGTCTTGGTCCCAAATTAACTGGGGTTCAGTAATCTGACAAATCTTTGGTATTTGGGATGAACTGTCCCTATGAGTTAACCCAAGCGATCTGAACTGTAGCCTTTGTGCCCAAAGGGATGAATAGGATTAGGAAAGTAGAATGTGACACAGGCAGCCAAATTCTGATATTTTTTCCACTAATTGGCATTTTGACTAATCAGATCAGCTCTTTTGTCAATAAAAGATAGGAATTGGGCTGCCTGTGTAAATGCAGCTTTAGAGAGTTTGGCCTGATCTAGCTGTTAACATTAGAACCCTCAATTACCTAGTTTATACATATTTCTAATTATGAATGTATCCAGTGTCTAACGATTTAATCACTCTAGGTGGTACTAACTGATGCTCCACAGATACAAGCTGGTTGACACTGTCAGTTGGTCCCTTTTGCTTTGAATTCCCATCTTGTGGTTGGTTTCTGGCACTGCAACCAATAGCCTAATGACAAAGTCAAGGGAGATTCTCAATTGGAGAAAAGTCTGTCCTCTCCTCGACTCCTCCGTCCTCCTCTCCTCCATTTCCCGGAAAACCGAAAAGTGGTTAGAGTGGTTGAGGGGAGTCAATTCGTTAGTAGGTGAACCGAGGAGTGTCCTCCTCACCTCGATAGCCTGCTCTCGCGAAGGATACTGAAGTGCATCCTCCATGGAAGAGTTTGGAAATCTGCCACACACCCTTTGAATCAGCTGTTGTTTACTCAGAGAAAATCATGCACACATTTAAAAACTATACGCTTACTTTGGTCATCCCCAAAGCCAACACCACCTTTGGCCGCCATTCCTTCCAGTTCTCTGCTGCTAATGACTGGAACGAACTGCACAAATCTCTGAAGCTGGAGACTCTTATCTCCCTCACTAACTTTAAGTATCAGTTGTCAGAGCACCTTACCGATCACTGCACCTGTACACAGCCCATCTGTAATTAGCCCATCCAACTACCTCATCCCCATATTGTTATTGACATTGTTATTTATTTTATCTATCACTCCAGTGTTAATACTAAATTGTAATTATTTTGCACTATGGCCTATTTATTGCCTTACCTCCATAACTTACTACATTTGCACACACTGTATATAGTTTTTCTATTGTGTTTTTGACTGTACGTTTTGTTTATCCCATATGTAACTCTGTGTTGTTGTTTTTATTGCACTGCTTTGCTTTATCTTGGCCAGGTCGCAGTTGTAAATGAGAACTTGTTCTCAACTGGCTTACCTGGTTAAATAAAGGTGAAATAAAAAATGCCATTTAGCAGACGTTTTTATCCAAAGCGACTTAGTCATGCGTGCATACATTTTACATATGGGTGGTCACAGGAATCAAACCCACTACCCTGGCGTTACAATCTCCATGCTCTACCAACTGAGCTTCTTATCCTATTATTATGTCTTGCACAACTAGCTAAATTCGTTTTTATCACTTTAAACATTCATTTTGGGATTCCACCCCTGTAAAGGTAATTTGCCTGATGACGAGACCATGACCAGTGTAGAAGGAGAGTCTAATTTCATACAAGCGCATTTGTTTTCACATTTTCTCGCTTCCGCTCCTCGATTACCTTTGACCTTTTTCAAAAGCAGGTGAGGGGAGGACCGAGTCGAGCAATCCAGTTGAGATTCCCCCCAAGACTAGCTACATCGTTTTACCCAAACAACAAGAGCCTACATCGTTAGACACAGAGCAGAACCGGGGTGTTTTACCAGTCACATTTTATTAATTGTTTTAGTGCATTTCAAGTTGTTTTGATAGATAAGTAGTGGCACAGAAAGTCCCATAGCCATTGTTGAATTGAAGGAACAGTAGTTATATGGCATTGTACAGCTTGGAGATAGAGAGGAAGAGACTTTGTCAAAGATGATGTACAGTAGTAGAATGAAGAAGAGAAGATTCATCCTGGGTCGTATTCAGTAGTACACAACGTAGCAAAACATTTTGCAGCGGAAAATGTGTTTTTATTAGGTAGTTAGGTAGTCTCTGTTTTCTTCCGTTTGGTGTCTAGTGAATACGACCCTGGTAGTGCTGTACATTGATTAACGTATGTTTGTGTGTTATTAAGATGATGAGCAACTGCTAGCTTGGTATCCAACTGATTTCACTATGTTTCACTGTTGTTTCACTTCATTCAGTCTGGTTTTACCAGGCTAAGCACTTGCTGCAACGTCCTACTATCCTCTGACTTGGCCTAGGAGCTGTACATGCTGTAGGCCTACATGAGGTTGTTTTTTTACAGACTAGATAGAAGCTGCCTCTAACCACTGATACAGGACCGGATATTTGTCATTAGCCTACTGGTAAAGGTTAGTGCTCGGGGTTAGGGTTATCTGATCCTAGATCTGTGGTTAGGGGAACCTTCTACCTAGAGAGTGTCTTATTAGATGATGAGGACCAACTGATCCAAACTCCTGAAACCCTCTGATTTGGTATAATGGAGCTATAAGCATTGGAGATTTAAAGTGTGTGGAGATTGGTGAAGCCACTGTAGTTCAATTATCAGCACTGGTTATGGCTGGCCCATAGTTACAGAAGGAGATCAGTTTTCAGCTCTGGGTGAAACATCATGATGTCCAAGATTCCATTCTAGAACCAGAATGTCCAAGCAAGTGGAAGACGCCATGGAATCGAAAGATGTCCATTCTTGATCTACGCCGAAAAAATAATGAAACGTCACACTCAATGGGATATCGCTTGTCTAGGCCCTGCAATATGTCCCCTTTATTGTAATAAATGATTGAAAACATTTTCCATTCTCTCCTCCTTGTCAGCGATAAACTTTTAGATGAAAATGCACTTGTACACTGTCAAACCAGCCTTTCCCTAAAATGTTAAATTCACATTAAATGGTGCTACCGCAACTCTCTTTGGAAAAAGTGGATTATAGCAGTTCATCCTTTCAGTTATTATTACTCAGAGTAGAGAAGAAAGTTTTGGATTCTGATTATCTGATAGCAGGAAGTAGCTTGTAGCGCTGATGACAAAGTGATTGACCTTGAACACAGTTGCTACAAAACATCTTGAACGAAAAATAATATGTAGGACACCCTTTGTTTCAAAGCAGCAAGTTTTGTCCCTCCTCCACCTATTGTGCCAAAGCATTTCATTTCTCAGTTACCAAACCAGAAATGTTGTTGTTACATCCAGTGCATCCAACTAAAGTATGACTTTCAACACAACAGTATGGTCATTCATCATAACGTTATCGAAACAAAATGTGATTATTTCTGGAATGAATGTCCTTATTTCTATACTGATTGATATTGAGATATTGAATGCATGTCTGTTGCCATACATGTTGTACTGTAACATTAATATGTGTTATTTATATGCCTGCAGATGTGGAATTATGGGTAATGTAGTGTTTTTAGGGTGCGTTCTCCCAGCTTCCTGTCTCTCCACTGTTACCATGGTTTCCTCAGCTAGATTCTGGAATCACTCAGGGATAGGCTAGTCTCAAAGGGGACAGTTAAATGTACAGGTAACGTCAGCCTCAGGTGTGCCCAATATCTTATAGTCCACTTTTACTGGGTTGTATTCATTAGTGCACACCATAGCAAAACGTTTTGCAACAAAAACAATTGTATCTTCTCCCTCCCCATTTCAGTGCATTTTCTTCCGCTTGGTGTCTAGTGAATACGTCCCTGGAGTCCCTTTGTCCACTTGTACAGTCAGATAGGTAGTCAAACAGTCTTTCCCTTACATTCAGTCCCTTTCCAAAGTGTCCATAAGGTCCAATGTGGCATTGGTTAAGGGAGAAGGGCGAGGATTGGAGTGGGAGTTAGATGATGGGAGAAGTAGGTATAGAACCACAGAGTTTGAGTTTGGTGCCAGACTTTAATTTCCCAAAAGTGGAAAGGAAGAGACTCTGAGACCCTCCTCCTCAGTCTCCTTTGAACAACTGAATCAGATAGAAAGCCATATTGGCCCAACAAACCTAAAGGGATGAGTGATGCCTTCTGGTCGTATCAATTGTGTTATTGGATTGCATAGTGGAAGAGAAGAGATAGGGGTAGCAAGTGACTAGAGAGATTAAATAGATCTGGGTGCAGTTCAAGAAAATTACCTAAAGCAGGGATGGGCCACGTTTTTTTTAGGAACTCAGTCGGGGATAGTAGAATACACGGTGCAGTTTTGAAGTGTGGTTATGCATCATTAGTTTTCTCTTACGTCAGTCACTGATAGTCACTCAATTAGCCATGTCAGCTAACAATTATTTTATTAAATGTTTTACTTGTAGTAATCATGGCCGAATACCGACCGGGCATGCAGGGCATATGCCCAGGGGCCTTGACCTCCAGGGGGGCCCAATTGATTTTGTTAGTCACTCTCACTCATATATCATATTAACATGGCATAAGTCATGGCAGAATGTATAGAATTGCAGGAAATGTGTTTTTAAAATGTATCTCCACTTCATGGCAAAACTGATAGAATTGCAGGAAACTTGCTGTAAAACTGCTAATTCTTCTCTTTGCCACATGGCAAAATGAGTAGAATTGCTTGACATTTTTTATAAAATTGCACACTTTTCCCCTCCGCCCCATGGCAAAATGGTGAAATGAACTTTTAAAAAAATAAAAATTCTCTCCGCCGTCTAGACGGGGGCCAGTAATTTTTTTTAAACCAGCGAGCTGGGGGGGATGCCAACCAAATCTCGCTTAACGCCCCCAAAAGGCTAGGGACGGCCCTAGCTACTGGTATAATGCATTTTGTTAAGAGAGTTAAGTAGTTTAACTGCACAAATAGATTGATTGTACAAATCAGAGGCAGGTGTGGGTATGGATGTGGGTACACAGACCCGCGAGCCACTGCGGCCCCTCATGATGAGTTCAGATTTTTTGTGACCCCCACCCCCATCAAAGTTGCCCATCCCTGACCTAAAGGGAAACCAGTTATTAACCAGGTATTTGCAGGGATGGATCCATCATCCATCCAGATAGCAGATCACTCTGGAAAGTGGACACCTTTGAGGACCAAGGAGGACCTAAGTGAAACCAGGCAGGGATCTAGTTGTGGGTAGGAACCCTCCATCCAGATGCAGATCAGCAGAGGCAAATGGCTAAACTAGAGAGCTGAAATGGATCTGGGTGCAAGTTCAGGAGGACCTAAGGGAAACCAGACTCGAGTCAGGGATCTAGTTGGATCTAGAAGATCCCTACAGATCAGCAGAGGCAGCGTCGGTCGCTCTTGGTGACCTCCTCGGAGGAGTGGACCATGTTGGGGACGAAGCCGCTCTTCACCCCCTCCCAGCCCTCCTGGATAGTGATGTCACCACTCCTCACCTAGGGCGAAGATACCAAGGTTAGGAGGGACAATATTGTATTCACATGCTAGCCTGGTCCCAGATCTGTTTGTGCAATCATATCAACTCCTTGTCACTCATTGTCATGTTTGCCATGGCAAGGAGTTGACATGATGGCACAAACAGATCTGGGACCAGGCTATTCACATGCAGAACATTTCGATAATAAACAAATTCATGGGACCAGCTGTTGCCATTGCTAAGATAGCCAAAGATTCTACATTCGATTTTCATTCTTGACTCAAACGTTGTATCTTCAACCTATAGCTCCTCACCAGCTGAAAGATGTCCCTGGTCAGCTCTGTGAAGGCGTGCTCCACATTTATGGCGTCGCGGGCCGAAGTTTCTACGTAACGCATCCCGTAGGCGCCGGCGAGTTTCTCAGCCTCCTGACGAGTTACCTGGAGATAGAGGTAAACATGCGATTTTATTGTCTGTTTATATGGAGATGTGTTTGTGCATTACTTATAATATCATTAGGGAATTTCTTTCAATGCTCAATCAAACACACACCCACACACACACACTCATCCCACCTACCCCCCTCCACACATACACGTAAACTACTGCAATCTGATAGGCTACCTGGCGCTGGGGCTCCAGGTCACACTTGTGGCCGACCAATAGGAACACAATGCTGTGTGGTTGGACGTGGCTCCGGGCCTCCTCTAGCCAATCATGAACGTTCTGGAAGGAGCGACGGTTTGTGATGTCAAACAGGAGGAGCCCGCCCACCGAGTTACGATAGTAGGCTCTGGTGATGGACCTGGAAGAGGGGAGGAGAGAGGGATGAGAGGGTGTGTATGTTAGGAGGAGATGAGAAAGGGAATAAGGAGAGGAAGGAGAGGAAGGAGGGGAGAGAATTGAGAGAGCGTTAGAAGGAGAAGGGAGAGGGGATATATACAGTGTTAGAATAGAAGAGAGAGAGAGAGAGAGAGAAATAAAAATAGATATGTGTTGGGAGGCTAGACAAAAGTAGCAAGCAACAGATGTGAAAGTGAGAAAGGGGAGGAGAGAGTGGGTAGTGAGGGAGAGAGAAAGTTTGGCAAAAGAGAGGGAGAGAATGTGAGAGAAGGAATGAGGGAGAAGAGGAAGGGGGAAAGAAGTGAGAGGAGGGATATGACAGACGTGAGGTGTGGGTGATGAGGCAGGGAGGGAGTGAGGGAGGGAGGTGCAATGAAAGAATGGAAGAAGAGGAGGACATAGAAAGAGAGGATGAAGATAGGAGGACGGTGGTAAAATACATATTCAAATGAAAGAAAGACCCAGTTGAAATGAATCACAGACAAAAGAGCAGGGAATGATGAGGATTATGATGGAACGCTGACCAAGCAAGGGTGTGTGACAAAACAATGGTGTGTGTATGTGTGTGTGTGTATGTGTTCAAAGGCTGTTAACTATTTCAATATGTAAAATAAATGTTTATCTATAAAAAGGGACTCCTACATACTTGTTTTTCACTTTTTAGAAACTAAACTATTTATAGGCTTATCCTAACTGTGTCATTGATGTTCCAAAGTGTCAATATTGATGTAGGCTAACCTTTGTACCTTATTCACTGTTTCAATAAAGCACCGTTGAATAGTCAAACAACAATAGCAGTAGTGGTATGACAAAAACTGTATCTTTCAGTTTAGACCTTGGTGCAAATGCAATTTTGGTATATCCTATCCTTTGATATAATTTTAAATCCTTTGATCAACAATTCTGAATGATAGCCTAATAGAGGGCTCTGAATATAAATAATGTTTCCTACATTTCATGGTTTGGCCAGCTGGACAAGAAGCATCCTTGATAAATAAGAGCAAGCAAGCAAGCATGATGGATCATACCGAAAGCACAGTTTATGCATAAGACCCCCATACCTGAAGCGCTCCTGTCCCGCGGTATCCCAGATCTGTAGCTTGATGCGTTTCCCCGGCTCGATCTCCACCAGGCGAGAGAAGAAATCCACGCCGACCGTCGGGTCACTCACCTGGGTGAACCTTCCCTCCGTGAACCGCCGGATCAGGCACGATTTCCCCACGGTCGAGTCCCCAATGACGATGAGTCGGAACTGGTACAGCCATATCGCCTCCATGGTGACTGCTGTCTAGCTTCTGTTGGGGGAGTCGTGGTCTAATGGAACACACGCACAGCACGCACACGGTGAGACACAGGCACATGCACACACGCAGAGACACACACACGCAGCGCAAAAAGAGTCAGTTAACCCATAACAACAGTGCTTTCAGGGGCTAGATAGCCTCGGGCGCCCTGGTGAAAGCCTGTGAGAGAGACTTCGCAGACAGAGAGGGGCAGCTACAACGGAGATTTCAATTGGTCACTGCCCCCCCCCCCAAAGCACGGTAGCTTGGCTTCCCAGCAGAGCGCAGCCCCTGAATGATAACGAGGCCTTTGGATAGAGCACAACACCGCTACTCTTTGTAGCTCTTTGTGCCCTTGTTTTGTGTCTACATTCCCTTTGGTGACAAGAAAAAAGGCTACACTTCTCTTCTGGATTTGACTATGGCTTTGATCTAGGCCTAAGCCCTCCCGCGGTGTTACAATGTCTATTATATTCCACATGTTTAATTACAAGCATGTGACTATTGGAAATCCGCTTTGGCCAACTTTCAAGTCACTTGATTGATTGTGGCAACTATTTGATAGCCTATGTTTTACGTTAGGCTATGAAAAAAGCCCATTTGAAGTTCCCTTTAGGAAAAATTAAGTTATTCCATTCTATTTGTAGCCAGTGGCACGTAGGTCAGTTTACATACTCTATTCTATAATCTATTATTTTCTATTCTATTCCATATTCTATAGAACTATGCTTATTTAAAACCCTACGATGCAAGGATTTATTATGGTATTGCATTATATGCACAGGCCTGGTTATCCAGTCATCAGACTGCCTCCAGTGCCATCTAGGCCCACCGCCACTACCTCACTCCGGCTGGCCGGGAATTACACAGTCAGCTTGGTATGCAACCACTACCGTGGACAGACATATCCCCTAAATAATACCTATAATATCCACCCCCATAGCTGTTGCCTGAGACCGGATATAGGCTTCAGCTAGGGTCTCCGGAGCATTGACATGGACAGTAGCCTAGGCTAGATTGTAACCTATTACAGTAACTACTGGTCATCATAATGGCTATTGTATTGTATGCCGTGGATATTTCACATAAGGTGCTTTTGGATAAACAAAAAATATGTTTAATTGCATGGACAGTCTATTGTACAGAAGCCATTACTGTAAAGGGCTAATGGAGGGATATAGGTGAGATATTTCACATCAGGTGCTTTTGGATTAATATCAAATGTTTTATTCCAGATCCCATACCAAGGTCAATGAATAGGCCCCTCCATTTTGCCTTATGGCAGGATCATTGATTATTTGAGTCTTATAGGCATCATTTCACCTGATCTGTCAGTCATGGGAAATGGAATAGAGAACAGTAGAATATAATCTACACCATTATTTGATGCAGAAACGCTTTAGACAACATTACTTCGGTCGCTCTCACAATAGGCTTTCAAGACCAAGTAGTGCCACTTTATCCACTTAATTCAAAGCCTTTTCTTATTTCTCTCATCATTATCCTCAAAATAAGAAGGCCTTATATAGTTCACAATTGCTAGAAAGGCCTATTGCCTAAGAGAAAACGAAATGGTTTCATCTTACGTGGTTTGGTTGCGCCGCTCAGAACTCGATTGCTGCAGGTTCCATTGCATTGAGAAGCTCGCCTTCTCTATCGTAGAACAAACGCCAAAAGAACGTCTCACAGCAACGCATGAACAGCAGTTTACAATTCCCCAGCGGATATCTACCAACCGGTATTCGTTGCGATGTCTTTATAACGGTCTATTAATGACTACCTAGAAAAATCCCCAGCACGCTTTACTCCCCAAAATGCTATTATTTGTGATTGATAGCATGGGTCTACACTGTTGTTTAAAATCACACAACTTTAAAATGTGATAGGCCTATGGCTAAATTCTGAGGGTTAGTTTTGTTTTCACTCCTCTCCTTATCTCGTTTTGTGTTTTTGAAGGCAGCTAAAGGAAATAAATGCTGCTGCTGATGAAATGGCAGTGCGAGCAGCACCATCACAGACCCTGACTCATTCCACCTCCCAGCCAGCATCAGCACCACTACTACCGTAAATATCAATATCGACGCGCACAAACACTTTCTCCGCATATCTAGAAAAAAAAACACAGCGACACAAAACGGTGTTATAAAACGATTAGAGCAATGACATGTAGATCAATGTCATTGTTCTTAAGTCGTTTTGTAAAATATAATTAATTTGACCTATTGGCTACCATTTCTGGTAGGCTATTGAAATAACCTCTAACCAATAGGCTATTATAGCCTCTCCATCATCATTAGTAAGCTAAAAGGCAAAAGTATAGATAGGGCCACTGACACTAAATATTAAATATTAGACCCTATATACTGCCTACCAGACATTAAACATATTTTGGACTTTAACTGATATAACGGTTTATAATCGTGCGCGTAAAATTGACAATATTGTATGCGGGTAAAGGGACACTATGTTTGTTTACCAACGGCTGCTTGACAGTGCGCTGGTCCGGATACAGTGTATCAAATACACTGGTATATGTAGTTCGTTTCGTTTCCCCCGACAGCAAAGTGGAGGACAGACAGTACAGTGAACTATTGACTTATTGTATGTACACAACTTTATCAGTAAGCTAAAGGGGTGTGGTTGCCTAATCTCCTAACAGCTGACGGGCAGAAGGAGAAGCTTCATGCACAGATGAATGGCAACGGCTTCCAGACGAGATGTGCGCGCACACACACCGTAGGCTGTTTGACCTCAGTTGACAGTTTGTGGATGACTTTGCGCTGACTACGCTTTTTAGAAGTTCTCCTTTTTTGTGCTGGATGGAATGAAGGTTGGGTAGGCGAAAGAAAGAGAGAGAAATTATGAACGTTTAGTAAGAGAGAAGGGTCGCCAAAAGGATACATTGCATGAAGTGGACTCTGATATAAGGACGTGTATGGAATAGACCAATTGCAAGAGAGGAAGAACATTTTGCAATATTTTTGTGCATGCACATTTTGAATAAAAGAGAGAGAGAAGTTCATCTTATTTTCTGTCTTTATCAATTCATGAATATTGTTTTCTCTAGCTACTACGAGTTGGAGAACAATTTACCTTTGTCATACAGGCAACTTCACGTAACGGGAAAAGAGAGTTGCTGAAAAGTGGACCCATATGAAATAGAAAACTGAAAAAAGAGGACACTGACTTTTGTAGTATTATTTTCTACATGTAATTTTCAATGTATTTTTTCTATGTGAACAACTAAGTTGTAGCCTACATTTTTATATCAAGCCATAACCCAACCATGCAGCACGAACGCTTGCTGAAGGTTCTAGTCATCGGTGACCTGGGGGTCGGGAAGACATCCATAATAAAGCGTTATGTCCATCAGATATTCTCCCAACATTACAGAGCCACCATCGGAGTCGACTTCGCCCTCAAAGTCCTCAATTGGGATCACAAGACGATCGTGCGACTGCAGCTGTGGGACATCGCAGGTTGGTAAACTAATTACAAGCTACTTCGACAGTTCGCCTACCTTTAGTTTTATAACTGTTCTATTTTATTTGACATACAATTCTAAAATATGGCTACAATATGTCACGCACATGGTATGGTGTCTGTAATAGTGGAACATCGCCGCTTGGTAAACTGATTACGCGTAGAATACGTCGTATACCTATTATCTATGCTACATTTACTTTATAACTCCTTTATTTTGTTTGAGAATGGAACTTTAACAATAGGTAGTTGACACACACACAAACACGTCACGCACTCAATCGGTAGCAAATTGTGCCCATAATGCTCACACACACACACACACACACACACACACACACACACACACACACACACACAGAGAGAGAGAGAGAGAGACAGACACGCACACACGTACACACACCTTTTGTAATAGTAGTAGCCTAACCGACCTATTCTTGAGCCTCTCTATAATTGACATGACCTGATAATTGACATATAATTGACATGAACTGATAAGGTCCTGACATGCACTGTGCTATAAAACAGTGTAACAGTGTGTTTGTGTATGTGTGCGTGCCTAAGTGCCTGCCTGTGTATGCATTCATGTATGTGCATGCGTGCGTCTGTGTGTGTGTGCGTGAGTGCATATGTGTGTGTATGTGTGTGGACTTTAGCCCGTCAGTCAATGCACATGCACTAGACATCTTAAGGCTCGCACACATTGCACCGAATGTGGATCTAGCGTTTGTCTGCCGATCGTTCAGCGCGCTGTAGACTACATTTTTCACTATTCTACATGTAAAATAGGGGCGCACTCGGTTCGCAAATTACATTCAGAAGTGCAAAGTACTCTCGGCCAGCAAAGCTATCGGTGTGTCTGAGCCCTTATGGTGCTGTATCTCTAAACTGTGTCAGCAGACTTTTCCTCCTTATCATCTAAACCATAGATAATGACACCATCACACCATGTCTAGAAGCCCCTTACAGCCAAATAATAATTCATAATAGATCATGTATTTTTTACATATACATATATTTCATATCAATATTAATATAATCCAACCTTTTCTCATAATAGTAGAAACAAGTGTCATTAATCACCCACTGACTGGTTCATAATAATGGACTATTCCATTCTGACAGAGTCCCCATGCATTGTTTCACATGATATGATTGCAAACGTGACATTCATTGAAATGAAGCTGCAGCAATGAGGCGCTTTCAGAGCAGAGAAAAGAAAAAGAAACAAGGAAGATTTATGTGTAGCCCATATCACGGCTCAGGCTAAGACCCAGATGCAGACACAGGAGACGGATAGTACGAGTCTCAGAGTTTATTACTGAACAAGGGGCAGGCAAAAGGTAAGTCAAGGCAGGCAACGAGTAATAATCCAAATCAGAGTCAGGCAGGTACAGGACGGCAGGCAGGGTCAGGACAGGCAGAAAGGTCAGAACTGGGAAGTATAGGAAAAACGAAAACTAGAGCACTGGAAACACGGGAACATGCTGGTAGGACTTGACGGGACAAGCCGAACTGGCAACAGACAAACACAAAATGTAGGTATAAATACACAGGGGATAATGGGGGGAAATGGGAGACACCTGGTGGGGGGTGGAGACAAGCACAAAGACAGGTGAAACAGAACAGGGTGTGACAGCCCATGTATCTGATGCTGTCTGGCCAAAAAGAGAATGGCATGTCATACTCTTTTTGGCCAGACACAGCATCAGATACAGCGGCTTGCGAAAGTATTCACCCCCCTTGGCATTTTTCCTATTTTGTTGCCCTACAACCTGGAATTAAAATGGATTTTTGGGGGGTTTGTATCATTTGATTTACACAACATGCCTACCTACCACTTTGAAGATGCAATTTTTTTATTTATTGTGAACAAACAAGAAATAAGACCAAAAAAAAAGAACTTGAGCGTGCATAACTATTCACCCCCCCAAAGTCAATACTTTGTAGAGCCACCTTTTGCAGCAATTACAGCTGCAAGTCTCTTGGGGTATGTCTCTATAAGCTTGGCACATCTAGCCACTGGGATTTTTGCCCATTCTTCAAGGCAAAACTGCTCCAGCTCCTTCAAGTTGGATGGGTTCCGCTGGTGTACAGCAATCTTGAAGTCATACCACAGATTCTCAATTGGATTGAGGTCTGGGCTTTGACAAGACATTTAAATGTTTCCCCTTAAACCACTCAAGTGTTGCTTTAGCAGTATGCTTAGGGTCATTGTCCTGCTGGAAGGTGAACCTCCGTCCCAGTCTCAAATCTCTGGAAGACTGAAACAGGTTTCCCTCAAGAATTTCCCTGTATTTAGCACCATCCATCATTCCTTCAATTCTGACCAGTTTCCCAGTCCCTGCCGATTAAAAACATCCCCACAGCATGATGCTGCCACCACCATGCTTCATGGTGTTCTCGGGGTGATGAGAGGTGTTGGGTTTGCGTCAGACATAGCGTTTTCCTTGATGGCCTAAAAGTTCAATTTTGGTCTCATCTGACCAGAGTACCTTCTTCCATATGTTTGGGAAGTCTCCCACATGGCTTTTGGCGAACACCAAACATGTTTGCTTATTTGTTTCTTAAGCAATGGCTTTTTTCTGGCCACTCTTTCGTAAAGCCTAGCTCTGTGGCGTGTACTGCTTAAAGTGGTCCTATGGACAGATACTCCAATCTCCGCTGTGGAGCTTTGCAGCTCCTTCAGGGTTATCTTTGGTCTCTTTGTTGCGTCTCTGATTATTGCCCTCCTTGCCTGGTCCGTGAGTTTTGGTGGGCGGCCCTCTCTTGGCAGGTTTGTTGTGGTGCCATAATCTTTCCATTTTTTAATAATGGATTTAATGGTAGGATGTTCAAAGTTTCTGATATTTTTTTAATAACCCAACCCTGTACTTCTCCACAACTTTGTCCCTGACCTGTTTGGAGAGCTCCTTGGTCTTCATGGTGCCGCATGCTTGGTGGTGCCCCTTGCTTAGTGGTGTTGCAGACTCTGGGGCCTTTCAGAACAGGTGTATATATACTGAGATCATGTGACAGATTATGTGACACTTAGAGTGCACACAGGTGGACTTTATTAAACTAATTATGTGACTTCTGAAGGTAATTGGTTGCACCAGATCTTATTTAGGGGCTTCATAGCAAAGGGGGTGAAAACATATTCACACACCACTTTTCCCTTATTTACTTTTTAGAATTCTTTGAAACAAGTTATTTTTTTAATTTCAATTCACCAATTTAGACTATTTTGTGTATGTCCATTACATGAAATAAAAATAAAAATCCATTTAAATTACAGGTTGTATTGGAACAAAATTGGAAAAATGTCAAGGGGGATGAATACTTTTGCAAGGCACTGTACATGGGCTACAAACAGTATATAGTAAGACAGAAGGGTGCTGTTTCGCTTATTCAAATGCTTTCTCCGGTGAGATAGTTTCAGCCACTTGTGAATTGAAGGAAAGTTGGTGGGTGCACAGTGCACTGTTCAGATACTGGAATTATTTTGGATCAACGTGCGAAGGATGGGACAAGACGAACTGGCAACAGACAAACAGAAAACGCAGGTATAAATACACAGGGGATAATGGGGGGAAATGGGAGGCACCTGGTGGGGGGTGGAGACAAGCACAAAGACAGGTGAAACAGATCAGGGTGTGACAGTACCCCCCCGCCTGTCGCCGATTCCTGGATGTGGTCTTCAGAAGAGCGGCCCGGGCTCGCTTCCAGGTACAGCGACAGCGGCGGACGAACCTACTTTTTGAAGTGATTTGCTTGACAATCAGATGAAAACATCATGACTGGTTGTGCTCATGGCACAGTAAAATGAAATACATTTTTACAGTTAAATTAAAGGCCTCTGCATGCGGCCTCCAAATCACTAAGTCCGCCCCTGCCAGCCATATACAGTATTCAAAGATTGCTGATCTAGGATCAGGTTCACCCCTATCCATTGAGTCTTATTAATTTACACAATGCATGTAGGCAGTGGAAAGACAGAGATATACATTGTAGGAGAACATAGCAGGAAAGCCAGTGTGATGGTATTTACACAATGCATACTGTCTATTGGCAGCAACAACCAGTGCCATTTCCAACTGTATTCTGTACGGTATGTGTTGCCGTTAGAAAGTCCCTGTTCTCTTTCTCTCTCTGTCCCTCTCTCTCTCTCTCTGTCTCTCTGTCTCTCTCTGTTCCTCTCTCTCTCTCTCTCTGTCCCTCTCTCTCTGAATGTTATGGTGAAATGAATTTTTCCCAGCTGTCTCAGAGTCTTTTCAAACCAGTGTGTGTGTGTGTGTGCGTGTGTGCATGCTTGCCTGTGTGTGTGTGTCTTCTAAAATAGTGTATGACCCGTGTTTGTTTATCAGCTGTTTCATGGTTATTCACCGGTATATTACAGTCATGTGAGAGAGGTTAACTTTCAGGAGAAATGCCATTTATACATCAAAACACACGCACGCACACACACACACACAAACATATACATATACACACACACGCTTAACATTTCTCAACACATTGGAGTATAGCTTTGCTTCTTACATCACTTTATTGAGAAATATTCAATCATTGTTGTTATGTTGTTGATTTAGATGTTATTGTTTTAGATGTTGTTGTTGATGCTGTTGTTGTTATATCATTGTTGTTGTGTTTCCCCAGGCCAGGAGCGCTATGGCAACATGACGCGGGTGTACTATCGCGAGGCTGTAGGAGCGTTGGTGATCTTTGACATGACACGGGCCTCTACCTTCCAGGCTGTCCTCAAGTGGAAGGGAGACCTCGACTCCAAGGTAAGGGACACATTATTATTTGAACATGCTTATAACTAGTCATAATGAATTATACATGCAGGTTCTACTATACAGCGAGGAGGCAGTGAGTGCCTGTACCCTGAGTGGCTCAACTATTACTATCCTCCTTCAAATAAAACATCTCCACCGTTGCTTACATTTCATAAAGACCTTCTTTTTTTTTTTTTTTTACATTTGTAAAGATCCTTCTCTCTCTCCTCACATCCATCTCACCTCTACCTCCCATTTTCTCTATATTTCCTTGTCCTTACTTCTTTCTCCCCCATTTCTCTCTCCAACCCCCCTCTCTCTCCCCCACCCCACCCCCCTCCCAGGTTGCACTGGGGAACGGGAGGCCGGTACCGGCCGTCTTATTGGGTAATAAATGTGACCAGCTGAGTACAGGTCTCTGTTCCAAACTGCCCAAACTGGAGAACTTCACTAGAGACCACGGCTTTGTAGGGTGGTACGAGACCTCCGCCAAGGTGAGTGGTGTGTGAGTGTGTGTGTGTGAGAGAGAGAGAGAGAGCAAGACCATGGTTTCGTAGGGTGGTAAGAGGTCAAGGGTCGCGGCATAGAGAGGGATGGGTCTCTATTGTTGCTGTATGTAGTGTATATCAGGGGATGTATGCTTTGTGTTAGGAGACGTTGTGTGTGTTAGCAGACAATGTTTTGTGTGTATGAGGCTTAACAGAGTTGGTTTCTGGAATGTAAAAAGCATCATTATACCTACTTACTGCTCTACCTACTTACTGCTAGCTGAGTGAGGGATTGTGTCTGTGCATATAAATACTATTTTTTCCCTCCCATTCTCTTGCTCTCTTTCTCTCGCTCACCCCCTCTCTATCTCTCATGTTATCTCTCTCTCTCTCTCACACACACACACACACACACACACACACACACACACACACACACACACACACACACACACACACACACACACACACACACACACACACACCTCTCTCTCTTTGCCCTTCCCTTCTCTCCCCCTCTCTCCCATCTCCCTCCCCCTCTCAGGACAACACCAACATTGATGCGGCCATCATGTGTTTGGTAGAGAGCATCATGGCTGTAGAAGAGGAGAGGCCGCCAGGTGGAGATCCTAGAGACCCTAGTGTCCTGGTCTTACCACGCTTTGACTACAATATGAAAGACAGGACCGGGATGGCTGGACTGTCTGGGTGCGATGGGTGTAAAAAGAGACCTCTGCCTGGCCGAAGGGAGATGGGGGATATCTGAGGGATGAGAGAAGGGGAGAAGGAGTGGAGGAGAGAGGATAGGGAGCTTGCTAGTTGTGATGGGTGTAATAAGTTAACTCTACCGGGCCAGAGGGACATGGGTGATATCTGAAGGGGTAATGGAGGAAGAGAGAAGGACAGTGGCTTTTGACTGCAACAAACTCTCTATCCTAGGATGGAAGGGGACTGAGGGGGAGAGATGGAGGGAGACATGAGAAGTAGTAGGGGGATAGAGAGACACACAGAGAGAGAGGGGGATGGGAAAGATAGTGAGTGAGTGTGAAAGAGAGAGAGAGAGAGATAGCAGCATGATACATTAGATATGGATGGACTGCTACAGAGGGTCATGTGAACTGAGCTGAGCCTGGATGACATGAGAGATCTAATCAAATCGCAGTGGAAGATAGACGCAGCCACATCGGCAAGGAAACAGCTGGGATGTTATCAATAGTGTTACTGTTGCATCACACTCATCACGAAGGCTGCTTTCGTAAATTCACTCTGGCCATCTACTCCGATTTCAGAGCAGTCTCGTCTGAGTGTGCCAGAGCGCAGAATAACTGGTGAATTTACGAACGTGCAACACTCGTTGAATAAGACCGGTGTCAATAAACGTCGGCAAAAAAACGTGACTAAATTGTTGCCAGCAGCACAGTTACAGTCACTAATGCTCTAGATAACATGAACACCAATGGCCAATGGTGACCTAACCAGCTTTGCTAGGGCGAGTAAAATGGTCAGTGAGGTGTTTTCTCATTTGTGTCTGGAAGTAGCTAGCGAGCTAGCCAACTTTAGCCAGTTAGCTTGGGTGCTTCATTGCTGTTGCGAGGTCAGAATACTCGGATCAACCCTTCTCCTCGGCTAGAGCGTCCAGTGTGCGCTCTGAACGCTCCGAGAGCAAAAACGCTCTGAATTTACAAACGACTCAATGCGTACTCTGACACACTGGAGGCAATTTATGAACACAAAAGTTGAAGGCATCTTCTGTTTATATGTGTGCTTGTGTGTTTAGTTATAACCCTCAACATTAGACTTCTGCCTCTACACAGCTTTGTAAAGTATAATTAATGTTCAACAAGTGTTTTTAACAGGAAGCTATGGCCAGGTCACACCAGAATGATGCTAAAGCTTACTGTATGCTTCCCAGTCAAAACAGTTTGGACATACAGTGGGGAAAAAAAGTATTTAGTCAGCCACCAATTGTGCAAGTTCTCCCACTTAAAAATATGAGAGAGGCCTGTCATTTTCATCATAGGTACACGTCAACTATGACAGACAAAATGAGAAAAACTATTTCCAGAAAATCACATTGTAGGATTTTTAATGAATTTATTTGCAAATTATGGTGGAAAATAAGTATTTGGTCAATAACAAAAGTTTCTCAATACTTTGTTATATACCCTTTGTTGGCAATGACACAGGTCAAATGTTTTCTGTAAGTCTTCACAAGGTTTTCACATACTGTTGCTGGTATTTTGGCCCATTCCTCCATGCAGATCTCCTCTAGAGCAGTGATGTTTTGGGGCTGTCGCTGGGCAACACAGACTTTCAACTCCCTCCAAAGATTTTCTATGGGGTTGAGATCTGGAGACTGGCTAGGCCACTCCAGGACCTTGAAATGCTTCTTACGAAGCCACTCCTTGGTTGCCCGGGCGGTGTGTTTGGGATCATTGTCATGCTGAAAGACCCAGCCACGTTTCATCTTCAATGCCCTTGCTGATGGAAGGAGGTTTTCACTCAAAATCTCATGATACATGGCCCCATTCATTATTTCCTTTACACGGATCAGTCGTCCTGGTCCCTTTGCAGAAAAACAGCCCCAAAGCATGATGTTTCCACCCCCATGCTTCACAGTAGGTATGGTGTTCTTTGGATGCAACTCAGCATTCTTTGTCCTCCAAACACGACGAGTTGAGTTTTTACCAAAAAGTTGACCATATGACATTCTCCCAATCCTCTTCTGGATCATCCAAATGCACTCTAGCAAACTTCAGACGGGCCTGGACATGTACTGGCTTAAGCAGGGGGACACGTCTGGCACTGCAGGATTTGAGTCCCTGGCGGCGTAGTGTGTGACTGATGGTAGGCTTTGTTACTTTGGTCCCAGCTCTCTGCAGGTCATTCACTAGGTCCCCCCGTGTGGTTCTGGGATTTTTGCTCACCGTTCTTGTGATCATTTTGACCCCACGGGGTGAGATCTTGCATGGAGCACCAGATCGAGGGAGATTATCAGTGGTCTTGTATGTCTTCCATTTCCTAATAATTGCTCCCACAGTTGATTTTTTCAAACCAAGCTGCTTACCTATTGCAGATTCAGTCTTCCCAGCCTGGTGCTGGTCCACAATTTTGTTTCTGGTGTCCTTTGACAGCTCTTTGGTCTTGGCCATAGTGGAGTTTGGAGTGTGACTGTTTGAGGTTGTGGACAGGTGTCTTTTATACTGATAACAAGTTCAAACAGGTGCCATTAATACAGGTAACGAGTGGAGGACAGAGGAGCCTCTTAAAGAAGAAGTTACAGGTCTGTGAGAGCCAGAAATCTTGCTTGTTTGTAGGTGACCAAATACTTATTTTCCACCATAATTTGCAAATAAATTCATTAAAAATCCTTCAATGTGATTTTCTGGATTTTTTTTCCTCAATTTGTCTGTCATAGTTGACGTGTCCCTATGATGAAAATGACAGGCCTCTCTCATCTTTTTCTCAAGTGGGAGAACTTGCACAATTGTTGGCTGACTAAATACTTTTTTTCCCCACTGTACACTGAGTATACCAAACATTTGGAACACCTTCCTAATATTGAGTTGCACCCCCTTTTGCCCTCAGAACAGCCTCAAATCATCAGGGCATGGACTCTACAAGGTGTCGAAAGCGTTCCACAGGGATGCTGGCCCATGTTGACTCCAGTGCTTCCCACAGTTGTGTCAAGTTGGTTGGATGTCCTTTGGGTGGTGGACCACTCTTGATACACACAGGGAACTGTTGAGCGTGAAAAACCCAGCAGCGTTGCCGTTCTTGACACAAACTGGTGCACCTAGCACTTACTACCATACCCCTGTTCAAAGGCACTTAAATCTTTTGTCTTACCCATTCACCCTCTGAATGGCACACATACACAATCCATGTCTCAATTATCTCAAGGCTTAAAAATCCTTCTTTAATCTGTCTCCTCCCCTTCATCTACACTGATTGAAGTGGATTTAACAAGTGACATCAATAAGGGATCATAGCTTTCACTTGGATTCACCTGGTCAGTCTATGTCATGGAAAGAGCAGGTGTTCTTAATGTTTTGTATACTCAGTGAATATTATGACAACATTTTGTGGCGTTTTGGTGTTTGGCAGGTTTTTTTCCGGCGTCTACGCCCCTTTGTCTGTGATTGGTCAACAGTAGGGATTCCTCAATGAAGTGTTTGTTGTCAATCAACGACAGATTACTAGTTTTCATGCAAATTATTTCACTTGAGAAAAAGTGCACCAAATATTTTAGTTAGATGTAAAGTTGCGTGACTAAGACCTCGGCAAAAACGTAAACATTCATGACAGATTTCTTGATTTATCTTAAATTGATTTTGACTATTTTGAGGAAGTGTTACAGTATGTTGTTGTTACGGTGTCTCAAGAGGGACAAACAGTAATATTTTGAAGCTAATGTCTTTTTAAGGGAGACGTTCGCTTCGCCTAGCTGAGTTCTGCTAGGAGCAAACCAACCTAGCATGCAGACACCTTTAGTCTGTGATAATGAAATCGGGAGGCTGAGAGGTGTAAGTTAGTCTGTGTCTCAAATTGCACCCTATTAAGCAGTAGTGATGTGGATTTTTTTAAAATACAGTTACAGTCTTAAATACAGTCGCAATACTATTTTGGACAATATTATATAGATACTTTAATTGACTCCAAGTATGGATTTTTTATTAATTTTTACTAGGTAGCGTTAGCTAATGTTAGTCAGCTGTACCTGCGCCAAAATTACGGTATTTTTATCCTATAGCTTTTTCTCCATCTTCTTTCTAAATAGTGAGACATGTTTTCAGCACTTTTACTTCCATGACTGATCAAAACAAATGTTCGTATGCTCTCTCTTGCCTCTCTGCAGCAGACATACTGTATGGTGAGTAATATGCTTAGAACATCAAATTGCAATAAAATCGCAGTATCAAATCGCAATACATATAGAATAGTGAGAATCGCAATACATACCATATCGGCACCTAAGTATCATGATAATATCGTATTGTGAGGTCCCTGGCAATTCCCAGCCCTATTCAGTTGTGCAGTATGTAGGGAATGGGGTGCCATTTGAGACGTAACCTTAGTTAGTGCATGTGACTTCAGAAAGTATTCACACCCCTTGACTTTTCCCACATTTTGTTGTGTTACAGCCTGAATTTAAAATGTATTACATTTAGATTTTGTGTCACTGGCTTACAAACAATACCCCATAATGTCAAAGTGGAATTATGTTTTTACAATTTTTTACAAATTAATAAAAATGAAAAGCTGAAATGTCTTAAGTCAATAAGTATTCAACCCCTTTGTTATGGCATGCCTAAAAAGTTCAGGAGTAAAAATGTGCTTAACAAGTCACATAATAAGTTTGATGGACTCACTCTGTGTGCAATAATAGTGTTTTAACATGATTTTTTTATGAATACCTCATCTCTGTAACCCACACATACAATTATCTGTAAGATCCCTCAGTCGAGCTGTGAATTTCAAACACAGATTCAACCACAAAGACCAGGAAGGTTTTCCAATGCCTCGCAAAGAAGGGCACCTATTGTTAGATGGGTAAAAATAAAGAAAGCAGATGTTGAATATCCCTTTGAGCATGGTGAAGTTATTAATTACACTTTGGATGGTGTATCAATACACCCAGTCACTAAAAGATACAGGCATCTTTCCTGACTCAGTTGCCGGAGAGGAAGGAAACCACTCAGGGATTTCACCATGAGGCCAATAGTGACTTTAAAACAGTCACAGAGTTTAATGGCTTTAATAAGA